TCCTGTCCGGGATGCGGCTCCTGTCCGGGATGCGGCTCCTGTCCGGGCTGTGGCTCCTGTCCAGGATGCGGCTCCTGCCCAGGTTGCTGCTGCCCCTGCTGTGGTTGTGGCTCCTGCCCCAGCTGTGACTCCTGCCCCAAATGCTGCTGCCCCAACAGCTGCTGCCCCCCGAGCTGCGACTGCTGCCGCCAGCTGTGCTGCTGCCTCCCACGCCTGCTGTACCAGCTGCCCAAAATGATCGGGTGCCCCATAAACATCAAGAGGTTCCTGATCGTCTTGGTGATTGTAGGTCTTGTGGTGCTGGTTGTCGTGGGGGCTCTGCTGATGGGACTCTACATCACCCAGGCGCATACAGAGGCTGTAAGTAGGGGAGCTCTGGACCCCAAGGGGGACTGGGCTGGGGAGGGGCTTTTCTTCCCTGGGGCTGGGCTGGCAGGAGAGACGAGGGAAGCTGCAGCAGGAAGCACCCAGGTGTGTTCTGGGGCTGCCTCAAGAGAGCGGGTGGCTACATTCTCAGGGATTTTGTGAGCTGTTTAAAAAAGCAAAGCTGATCAAGGTACCTCCTTCCATATGTGGTGGCAATGCCCAGAACCCCAAAAATATTGGACCAAAAATACGGAGTTGGTTACAAAAAATAATGGAAGACCAGATAGAGTTCAAAACCTGAACTGTTCCTTTTAGGAATAATAAAGAGGAAATATAGTAAAAAAAAGATTAAATATGTGATACTACACATAACGACAGCCGCGAGGATTGCATTCGCACAATGTTGGAAGCGAGATAGAATGCCACCGGAGGAATTAGTAATTCAAAAGATTTTAGATTGTGCTGAAATGGATGAACTCACACTAGAGCTAAATCATAAGGAAGAGTCAGAGTATTATGCGGTTTGGGACAATTGGTACCAATGGCTGAATAGTAGAAATAAGAATAATAGAGACAAGAAAATCATAGATAAATGTATATGAATGTATGGAGATTTGCATGTGTAATAATGATGTCACAGTATCGTTAAAGATGAGAATAAGGTTTGTAAAACATGAAAAAACCACAATAAAAATAAAAGCAAAGCTGAGCCAAATCCAACTCTCTACAGCAAGCAGTGCAGAGACAACAACACAGCTGGTTCTTCAGCATTTACCAGCACACCCTTAGATTCTCCTATTATCACAGTTCAGATACATGTACAAATTGCTCTCCATCCGGTTTGTTCCTTAAAAAAAACCTGAAATAATATAACAACCACAACAATTAACAATAGCAAACCCCTCTAACTTTCCAATCTTCCCAGACAATAAGCTACAGTTGCTCTCCCATTAGAGAGGTTGCCTGTTGTGGCCTGTCGGCCGCCGGCCCCTCCAACATCCAAATCAGAGGAGGAGGAGGAGGCGTTGTGGGAGTCAGGGTCAGCATCAGAGCAACCTGAGAGCTCCAAGGGGAAAGAGGGAATGGAGCTGGCAGAGAGAGAGAGAGAGAGATAGAGAGAGAGAGGGAGGGAGGGAGGGAGGGAGGGAGGTGGAACCTGGGCTGTCCATCAGCCCTCAGATGGAGAGTCAACAGGTCTGGAGGTGGCTGATGAGGAAGAGGAGGAACAGCTGGATCCAGTGCCTGACACACGGATGTGCAGAAGGCAGAGGAGAGGAGAGCAGTGGAAATCTATGGGCCGGTCCTTGGGACGGAAGAGCCACCGCTGCTAACAAAGCCCCTCCCTAGCTCTGGGGATAAAAGGCAGGGGACAGAGTTGAATAGATGTGGCAGACAACTATTCATCTGCCTTCTGGATGGACTTGTTAACCTTCTGAGAGAGAGAAAAATCTTGCCAGGGCTGCCAGCTCTCCTAATAAGGGAATCGTTGATTTAACTACCGAGGGTTTGTCGTGTTCAGGGAGTTGGGTCAAAACACTGCCAAGAGGAAATCATGCACCACAAGGGTTGGCTCCTCTCTCCTGTCAGGTCTCGAATCACCTCCCACCTGATTTAACGCTCTAGTAATTGTTGGGACAAGCAAGCCGAAAGGTATCTCTTTCTACTCCGCGCAGCTTCTGCACATGACCGTTGGCGAGTTGGATGGAAAAGATTCCCAGCTGAAGTTCTCCATGGATAAGGAAGAAGTAGCCACTTACTACGTAGATGACGGGATCCACAACCCAGCCACAATCATTTATGATTTTGCCAAGGTGAGTGGCAGCTGGGAAAGAAAGACAGAAACCCAGGTATTACCTGGATGGAGGAACAGTCAACCCAACTGAGGAATGTTAGAACCTTTTAATAGCAAACCCACTGCAGCTCTCACAAAGACCAGCATTGCAGTATTAGATGCTAAAAAGATAGCACATAAACCATGTTTTACCAAGGGCCACGTAATGTTTGGGCAAATTTGATGCTGAACATTTACAATCAGTGTATGTGCTACAGAAAGGTACTGCAAGGAGTAAACTGAGAGTCAATGAATCTCAATGCCTTGTTCACAGCTGCTGATTGGCTACAAGCCTGAACATCAAGAAGCTTGTTACCTTGCCAGGATGGATAAGGAAAACATCCAAGGACTAGACACCCTCCTCAAGGAATTCCAGGTAAGGATGGGACCTTGACAGGTAAGGATGGGACCCACAGGTGAAGAAAAGGCTCCGCGATAACACAGCAAACATCAGCATTAATGGAGAGGAACTCAGTTAGTTTGCAGTGTGGAAAAAGGTAATGATTGTCCCACAGAACCCTGACCAGGGAGCTGTGGGGGGTCCTACCTACTTAGCTTTTCTCCTTTTCAACAAAAGGAAAGGGTGGGTCCAGCTATGTTGTCATCTCTTGTAGGCCAAGTTGTCGATCGCGCATCTCATGCCAAAGGGGAAAGAGAAAGAGCAAGAAGAAGAATTCCTCACATCCCAGGTGGATCGTTCGAGCCTGGGAACCACCATTAACATCCTGTGCGAACACATTCCCATCTTCTACACTTAGGTGAGTAGCAGGCAAGGGCGTTGGATCCAGATATAATTAAAATCTCAGAAGATCCAAGGTCAAGCAGGAACACTTGTCTGTAGCTACAGACTCACTCACACACACACACACATACTTATCCTGCTGCTTGTCAGGTATGCTGGACAGGAATTCCCGTAGTTCAGAGCAGTGGTGGGATTCAAATAATTTAACAACCGGTTCTCCGCTCTAATGATTTCTTCAACAACCAGCTCACCAAACTCCTCAGAAGGTTAACAACCGGTTCTTTTGAACCGGTACGAACCGGCTGAATCCCACCACTGGTTCAGAGGCACTCAAATCATATCACTACTTGCTGAACTTTATCCAACACATCTAGCAGATGCCAGCCCTAATTCCTGGGTCCACAGTGGAGTTAGAATAGAATACAGAGTTGGAAGGGACCTTAGAGGTCTTCTAGTCCAACCCCCTGCCTAAGCAGGAAGCCCTACATCACTTCAGACAAATGGCTGTCCAACATCTTCTTAAAAACTTCTCTACGTTGGAGCATCCATAACTTCTGGAGGCAAATTGTTCCACTGATTCATTGTTCTAATTGTAAGGAAGTTTCTCCTTAGTTCTAGGTTGCTTCCCTCCTTGATTAGTTTCCACCCGTTGCTTCTTCTCCTGCCTTCTGGTGCTATGGAGGATAGCTTGACTCCCTCTTCTTTGGGGCAGCCCCTCAAATATTGGAACACTCCTATCATGTCTCCCCTAGTCCTTCTTTTCACTAGACTAGACAGCTGGCTGAGGAATTCTGGGAGTTGAAGTCCAGAAGTTTTAAAGTTACCAAGTTTGGGGACCCCCAGTCTAGATGATTCCTGGCCACCACGTATGGTAATGTTTTCTTCCTTTTCCTCCTCTTCTCCTTCCAGGTAGAAACCTGGATTGATGGGCATCCATGGTGAGCGGGGTAGGAGGAAGCTAGTGGACATCACAGTGTCCATGGTAGGAGGAAGCTAGTGGACATCACAGTGTCAGCCTACAAATGAAGCCTACAAATGTTGAAATTCTTTCCTCAGAAACTATACTGCGGTGACGCCTGCTGTCCCTACATTTATTACAACGCTGTTCCCGACCCCCTTGGAGATAATGGGTGACAAAACCTAACAGATTATATGTAGCTTGTGCCTATGACTTGGAATACTAAATAATTACTAATCAAAATATGTAATGCCTTATGCAACTTAGTACAAAATTCTAATAAAACAATTTGACACAAAATGAGTCTGTATTTCTAAACACACACACACACACAGACACACACAAAAACACACACACGAGTCGTGGTGGCACAGTGGTTAGAATGCAGCACTGCAGGCTTCTTCTGCTGACTGCCGGCTGACTGCAATTTGACAGTTCGATTCCCACCAGGCTCAAGGTTGATTCAGTCTTCCATCCTTCCCAGGCCAGTAAAATGTGGTCTCAGATTGTTTGGGAGCAAGAGGCTGACTCTGTAAACTGCTTAGAGAGGGCAGTAAAGCACTATGAAGCGATATATAAGTCTAAGTGCTATTGCTAATGCTACACACACACACACACACACACAGAGAGAGAGAGAGACTTTAAATAAGTAAATAAAGTTTAATAACAGTCTCCCTTAAGCTTTCCTTACTCCACCAAAAGTGTGGCATTGAAATGAGGACAATCTTATGGAAGCATGGAAGTCAAAAGGTAATATCGGTTCAGATCTGTGGTTAGCTCAAAGTGTCTTTTAATCCCCATTTGTGGTTAACCATGTTACCAAGTCCAAAATGGCTGAAAACTAGGACTTTATCTTATGGATATATATGCAGTTCTGGAACCATCTAAGAAACTTTTGGTTAAGGAAACAGATAATTCCTCTGAACTCACTGTGAAAATCGTTTCCACAATAGTCCATAGTTGGCCACAAAAACATCAACCTGCCCTTGAATGTGCATTTGTGGGCTTCTACCTCGTTCTGCCTTTAGAGGGCAGCCTTGTACAGATCATTTGCCCGCGCTCGGATTTCTGTACTCCCCACAAAAGTTGAAACTCTTACAACACAGATACTATATAGTAGTTTGTCAATGTACTCCTTGCATTCAGAACATGCTTTTTGCATAAGGATTGCTTTAAATTCGCTGTTGTGAATTTAACACACTGTTGTGTGTGTCCATTGAGGGATTTTGTCCTCCACCTCTAGGAATAAAAGCTTAGATAACATGCGCCAATTAAAGGCTGAATTTGGATTGGCCATGGCAGTGGTGAGATTCAAATCATTTTACTACCGGTTCTGTGGCCATGGCTTGGTGGACGTGGTGTGGCTTTTTCGGTGTGGCTTTGTGGGCGTCGCAGGGGAAGGTTACTGCGAAATCCCGTTCCCTCCCCACCCCACTAACCTGCTTTCCAGCTCCGTTCTCCTGTGCAGGGCAACCAAAGGAGACCCAGCCGATCAGCTGGGACTCAGTGGGAGGCAGAGAAGAGATGGGGTTGGCGGGGCCAGTCAGAGGTGGTGTTTGCCGGTTCTCCCAACTACTCAAAATTTCCGCTACCGGTTCTCCAGAACTGGTCAGAACCTGCTGAATACCACTCCTGGGCCAGGGAAGAGGACCGTTTATATATACAGGAAGCATGTTCTTCCACAATAACTGCAGAACCAGAGCAAACAGAACTTTTGTGGGGTTTTTTCTCACACCAAGCTATTTATGCCTTTCAAAATAGCTAAACAAAATATACTGCCAGATACAAATATTGGCTAATATTTTCCTTGCCACCTAACATTTTGCAGGCCATCTGTAAAAAAAAACTGGTTGAGGTCGAAGTCAGAGAATAGTTTAAAAATCCATTCTATTAATATTACTGCCATATCACAAGTACTATACTATACAAATACTTCTGTATATCACCGAACTGTTGTTACACCGATTGAATCGCTGCCCGCAAAGCTGCTGTTTGTAGTGAGATGGGATCTTACATTCAACTTTACACTTGAGGCAAGAAAAATGAATATTTATTGGTCACCCACTCTGGCTTGAACTGCACTCAGACAGTTATATTCGGGGTGCTGTAAAGCCGTCGGCCTTTCCACTCCAGCACCCCGTGTCAACACTCAAAAAGGCACAAGGAGGCGAACTCTTCACCACTGAAAAAAAAAAAAAAAAAGGGCAAGATACGCAACCCTTGGCCAGGCCGGGATGCCCCCCACAGCCCATTCTTAGCTCTGGAAGAGGGATGTGGTGAGGCCACACACTAGCAGGCAGAAGGCCGGGAGGCCGGGCCCCTTCAAGGCCCGGCTGTGGACTTGGCCTTTCACCATCACCGCCGAGGAATTGAGGCCCTTCTCTCTCGCCCCCCAAGGGGACCCGTGCCCTCTGTGGCCAGAGTGGGGCTTGCCGAGAGAGTTCAAGCTGTATCCCATCGCTGCGCCCACTGCGGCCAGCCCAGCCATTTTCGCCCCGTGGCCACCTCCGCTTTGACTCTGTTTGCTGCTGCTGCTCTTCGGCGTTGAGTTGGCATCTCCTTTGCTCGCGCCTCCTCTTCTCCCTGCCCTGCGGGAAGAAGCAGCGCCGCTGAAAAGGACGAGCAGCAGCAACACGATGCAGCAGCAGGTAATCCAGCCGTACCTCATGGTGGTGCTTCTCCTCCTGGAACAGAAAGACCGAGAGATCAGGGGAGGGCTTCCAAAAATTTAGCAACAGGTTCTCTGCCCGGTTGCTGGGTGGGTGTGGCCTAGTCAGTCTCCTGCACCGTGGTGGGGAGGGGGGCGTTTTTGCCTTCCCCGGGCTCCCGAGGCTCTCTGGAAGCCGCAAACAGGCCCATTTCCGACATTCCTGAACTTCCGGGAGGCCCGTATTTTTGCCCTCTGTGCGCGCCTTGCACTTCCTGGCATCCAAAACGGGTGTGGGGCAGGGAGGGGTGGGATTTGGGGGTTCTCCAAAATGCGCAGAATCTTAGCTCGGGGGCTCTCCCGAACCCCCAGCAGCACCCCTGCAAGGGATCGACGTGGCTTCTCGGCTAGCACTGGGGTGGCAGAACCGCCTGGAAGCTTCTGGAAATTCTGCGCTCTTTGACTCTTCCGGACCTCTGAATTATGCCATCTGAATGTCCTCTGGGCACCTGCAGGAGTTTACCTCTTTTGCATCAATAGTGCCCTCTCTGGAGTTGTGGGCTAAAAATGGGGTCTGTGGTCTAATCTGGGGGTCCCCAACCTGTGGGCCGCAGCCTATTCGCCACCGGACTGCAGGAGTGACGGGCCGTTGTATGTGCACACATGTGTGAACTCAGCCCCACTCACATGAGCAAAGGAACTTGGTGTCGGCAAAGGGAGAAGAAAAGATATTTGCAGCAGTGATGGGATTCAAAAGATTTTACTACCGGTTCTGTGGGCGTGGCTTGGTGGGCGTGGTTTGGTGGGCGTGACAGGGGAAGGATATTGCAAAATCTCCATTCCCTCCCCATCCTACCGACCTGCTTTCCAGCTCCGTTCTCCTGGGCAGGGCAACCAAAGGAGACCCAGCCAATCAGCTGGGACTCAATGGGAGGCGGAGAATAGAGGGGGGCGGGGCCAGTCAGACATCCTATTGGCCAGTTCTCCAAACTACTCCACATTTCCGCTACCGGTTCTCCAGAACTGGTCAGAACCTGCTGGATACCATCTCTGGTTTGCAGTCGGCGGGCAGCCCTGGCAGACAGAGGAACTGGGGAAGCGGCAGGGATGGGGAGAGCAATAAACTAAGAAGCACCACGAGGGTCTGAAGCTGATCATCTTTCTGCCAAAGGGCCAAATTGTTAAGTAAGAAACCTACAAACGAGGCCGCACCATCTAGAAGTCTATTTTTACTTCACTGATTATAACATGGGAAATTTGCGCTCGCAAAGGTAGTTGATATATATCACCCTAGTAGTGGAGGTTGCATTTTTATTTGTTATTTTATCTTTGTTATGCAATTATTTTATCTCATCTCTTTGATTTCACTCGAGAGCTGTAATTTTGTCAAGTGTTGCTGCTCGTTGGCCAAATAAAACACCCATTTTGATTCCGAAAGCAAACAGGCGGCCAGTTGGCTAATCCAGAACTGCCCGGCTGGGCTTTTTCCCGAAGGAATGGTCTTGCTAAGCACAATTCAGGACTCAGGACACTGCAGAGCCGAAACTTCTGGGAACTGGGAACACAAAAGGGATGGAGAATGGTGTGCACTCATCCATCCCTACACGCACACACACACACACACACACACCTCAGCACATCCCCTGGTGTCCTTGCCCCTCACGTGACTGCTTTAGGCCTCGTCCGAGTGCCAGGAGCAAAGGCCATTTGCAGCAGCTGCTATCGAGAGCCAGGAAAAAGTTTGAGTTTGGGATGCAAAATCTTGCTGCAGTGCCCACAGCAAAATTACAAGAAGCCTGGAGCCAAGATGTTGAGTGTCCTCCTAATTGAGGGAGAGGAAGGAGAGCTGTTCTTCTCGCCTCGTTTTTTTTCATCTCGATTAAAATCAGCGGGAAAAAAATAGATTGAATCCTTATTCCAAGCAGCCCCTGAACGCTTAGAACAGAGGCCCCCAACCTTGGCAACTTTAAGACTTGTGGACTTCAAAAGGTGTAAGAAATTCCAATATATTATATTCCATATAATAAGTGCAGCAAGAATAGCCTTTGCCCAGAATTTCCCTCCGATATTATGACAATAAAAAAGGTTTTAGAATGTGCAGAAGTGGATAGGCTTTCAATGGAAATGAAGGAGGGAGAAGAGAGGGTACCATGGAAATCTGGAATTTATGGTATAATTGGTTGCAAGGTAGACACAAAATGAGAGATGAATGAAAGGTGAAATAATATGAGATGAAATAATATGGCATGAATAAGCATAACTATGTATAATTATGCATAGATACGTAAATAATTATGTAAATGTATGCAAATATGATATAAATCGAATGTAAAATAATTGTAATAATATTTAGTAATATTCTATATA